TTACTCACGATAGGGCGCCGCGAAGCGCGCCTAAAGGTCTAGTATAGGTGCAATAGAACACTACAATATTATTATGCATTTATCCTAATTCAGTTATTTATGAAATTACTCGATGCATCTACAGGTAGTGTAACACTGTGACACAGACCAGTGGAAGCAAGAGTTTTGGTCGGATTGCAGACAAATGGGAGAATGATATAATTCAAGAATTATTTTACATTTTCGTTTTTTGATGGCATTAACCACATTAATCCGATTTTAGTTGCTGAACAAAGCTATAAATACTTGGAGATAGCACACTTTTAATGTTTATTTGTGGTAACTCCCATTTTCTTTAATCATGTATTAAAGTACCGACAAGTACCATATATTAACATTAGAATATAGAGTACCTCCTTATACCGATTAACCAATAGCTTCTGAATGCAATATAATACTCCTAATATCTCTTTATGGATCAAAAAAATGCTCAAACTCAAACGACTTGCTTACTCTGACTTCAAAATTAGATCAATGATGTGCCTACTCTGACTTGGCAAAATAATTTTGCTCAAGGTGATCATTTGTTTGGAACAAATAAAAGATCAGGTAAGTGTTTGTGCTGTTTGTGTTGGACCAAATCCTAAATAGTTGAAGATTTGGATAGTATGAACTGAAAATGTTCCTTCCCCAGATTTCAATTAGATTTTATCTGCAAACTATGTTTGGAGCTGAAATCAAGAATGTGCTTTTGACATGCAATTGGATGGATAAGTGAGCAACTTTCACATGTGATATGAGAAATGGAAGAGTTACATAAATAATTTGATCATCGCAGTCTATAGGGATCAGACCATAATTTTAAACGGAACAAAAATAGCACATATATATATGTGATTTTCTACGCCTAGAAAAGTACTGTACTATATTTGGCTTGTAACATTTATATATACAAATTATAATTTTGAGGGCCCATTGCATTGAATCCTAACCCTGTGGTTACCACTTCTCCAAGAAGATAACCAGCTGGTTAGATATTTCACCATTTTAACAGAACTGTTCTAGCTTATAGAACAAACACTCCATTAACCCACCTACGTACATCAATGCCATATGCCCATATCCATTATGTCTCAGGTCATGAATTGACTTAGCTACAAATGTAACATTAATGCATAGCTAAATGTAAATCACACATGCACTCATGCACGCACTACCACATAACAGTCAATAGGAACCGGCTCATCACTGCCAGTTCACACATTTTTCCCACCCAAATAATGGTTAATTGATATGAATGTGATATTGATACTCCTTATCAGTGCCAGCTCGTGGCATGCACCGGCACAGTTTTTGGACAGACAGTGATATATCATGGTATCGCTGTTGGTTGCCAGGTGTTCAGAAACTAGCACAGGTAGCCATTGTGAACCGGCACCAATGGCCTATCCAGTGGTAGTGACAGACACACAGTAACACATACTCCCTCCGTCCCATATTATAACAATGAATTTACACATGCTTCCTGTTTAGATTAGTTGTACTATAAAGTGCATCCGGTCCTAGGTTGTTATATTATGAGACGTAGGGAGTATATACCTACACACACAAATATTCTACTGTTATATACTTCTGCTAGATGATTTGAAATTTTATATATTTCCAATAAGGAATGGTACTGTACACCAGTAATACCAGTAGATTGAGATATAATTGAAGTGCGCATAAAAATTTAATGATGATGTTATTCCCTTGGCCCTCCTATATATTTCGCTCAATAACTTGTGAATAAATAGTCAAACAAATTATTATATTGGCAGTATGGCAGGAATATCGTCATTGAGTGCAACGTCAAGTGTCTCAAGACATGTACAATATAGTTAAGATAACTGTTATCTCTACAGTATTAAAAAAAACTGCTAAAGTTCAACTCTTACAGAATGTCCCTTATGCTATCCTACAGAATATATACGAGCTACACTCATAAATAAAAAACTCTGGTTTCATCTATTTGCAAAAAGACATTTTTTTCTTTATCTGAACCAAGGAGAAAGGAGGATGATGAGCCACTTACTACTTATAGCGTCTGCCATATAAAATTCTCAAGCCATGTACTATAATTTATGCTTATACCAGTTTTTAATGTTAGCAATTCAACATAAATGATGGCAATTTAGAGCAACAAATGAGAAGTCATAAAAATGCTTACCAGAATGAAGAGGACTACTATGAATTACAATAATCAGATTCACAAAAAGATGGTCGGTGTTGGAAAAATACATGTGCCAACCTAAATTAATGTCCTGAACAGCATACAACAAAAAGAGAATAAAAACATCAAAATTTGCAAGTGAAAACTGTAAAATAATTACTTGAAGATAAACAATATTACCCTATCTCCCTGATTTGACTGGCAAGGGTCAATCCCTTTTCTTAAGCATCGATCAGATTCGACCTCCTCTTACTAATTGATACCATCCAGCTAGTTCTTGTCATGAACTCCTTGCATAAATGGATTAATTTGTATACTGTTTTTTTTTCAAGAATTTTCTCCATATATTCACCTGTTGTTTGTTGGCGGGGCTTTTAACTATTTGCCACTTTTAGATTTGGCAAATAACTATTTGCCACCCCTATCTCAATGACATGTGGGTCCACATGTGTCTATGGTATGTGGGTCCAGTGGTAAAAAGTTAATTGCCATATTTAAATGTGGCAAATGGTTAAATATCTCGTTTGTTGGCACGTTGTCAAGTTAGAGAACAAAACGAGGAGCTGCACAATACAACAGTGTTGGCATTGCATCGAATATACTTCACTGGTACTGTACAAAAATTTGTTTTTTCCCCAAGTGACAAACCCTAACCCTCATAATCGGGTGACATTAACAGAAGCAAGCATATAAATTAGAATCATATCTTCCAAATTCAGTACCTTTTCTTGCAAAGAAAATCAAATCGGTTGCAAACAAGAAGAGAGGGCATGCATGCATGCATGAAGAACAGAATCTGGAGGCCGGCCTTGCCTGATGACTGTAAATCAGGGTTTTAAATCTCCCGCTATAGCTGTTTGAGAAGGGTTCTAGCTATTTGCTCTCATATACAATTTAGCCGCTATAGCTCCATTTAGCCCGCTATAGCTGCCGCTATAGCTGTTTGAGAAGCTAACCGCTAAATACTTTAGCCCGCTATTTAAAACATTGCTGTAAATCGATAGTGGTCGAAACCACGTGGAGCAGCCGAGAGAGGAGTAGAACAGGATCGCCGGGGTACGCAGCCGCCCGCCGGCGAGGCTAGCGCACGGCGTCGGAAATATCGCTCCGGCGAAGCAGGGCGTCGGAATCGGGACGGCCGCGGCCGGGAAGGGGATGATGGATCGGGAGCGAGCGGTGAACCACCATGAGGAGGAGGAGGAGGAGGAGGAGAGAAGATGAAAAGGAAAAGGAAAATATTGGAGGGGACAACAAAGCTGTGGGCTGCCGTATGTGGGCCGTACGAGGAAACAAGGCTGGTAGGCCCAGTATTTAGGTAGAGCACTGGAGCCTGGGTTTAATTGGGCCATTCACTGAGAAGCTGCCTGCGGAGAAAGTCCATACTATATCCCAGAAAAACATGGGTTCGGTTTGATACGTAACCTAAAACCGGGTATACAGAGTGAGCATAGCTCAACCGTTAGGTTCCTTACAGTGGAACCAGCCCATCCGGTTTTAAATTCTAGATTTGATACGGATGCTCGTATTTACGACTAATTATTCTTTCAGTGGTAGACGGAAGTGCTCATATGGGTAGAGTGTGAGTGTGTGTGTTCAGAGATAGTAGTTTTGTCCGATGTGACCAAGTAGTGGTAGGCGAGGTGCTCATAGGGGTAGAGTGTGCGTGTGTGCGTTCATAGACGGTAGTTTTGTCCGATGTGACCAAGTGTGATATGGCAGTGAGAAATTCATCACCATCTCGCCCTCCTATGGAAGGCCATCGTTGTCGCTGGTTGTCCCGCCACGCTAGCGCAGCCAGATCAGGAGATAGGCAAGCCAAGGTGTCCGCTAATTTGGAGCTAGGCTAGTCAGTCAGCCTGAAGGCTGTCGAGGGATGAGCACGCGGCAAAGCTAGCCAAGGCAAGAGGAGGATGGCGGTGGAGAAGGCTTCCATGCCTACTCTCATTGTCGCTTGGCTATTGAACGCGTGAAGGTGACATTCTAACGTTGGGGTGCCGTGGGAGCTAGGTGCTGCTACTAGCGTTACTGAACTTTTCCGACGTTGTACTTCTAGCGACGTTCCTTGGCTTGCCGCCTACTAACTTTGGTGCTAGCCTCCTGGAGCATGGCACTGGGGCGAAAAGGCCCTTAATGTTGGACTTGTTCGCGACGACAACGAGTGGCTCATGCTTGATCAATGCTTATAGTTGTGTGCACTGCCGTACAGAGGCTGAACCGCTCGCTCCTACCGAATTTGGTGCTAGCCTCGTGGAGCATGGCACCAGGACAAAAAGGTCCTTAATTTTGGACTCGTTTGCGACAACAACGAGTGGCTCATGCTTGATCAATGCTCATAGTTATGTGCACTGCCGTATAGAGGCTAAACCACTGGAGACGGACTGCCATGGCCCCCTCCTTGCGGGTTGCCGACCACTACTATCGCCTTCCTTGGCAGTCACCAGTCACCACCAACACAAGCTTCTCGTCAAGACTTAGGAGAATCGCATAAACTAGGAAAGGAGAGAAAAAGGGTAGAGATTGAAGATGACATGTGGGACCCACCATACTTTCAAGGTGTTTCTTCTAATTAGAGACTTGGTGTGTCACATAGTCGTCAGGTCAGATGAAGACCGTGTCAATGTGCCACGTTAAAACCAAAACTGCTATCAATATTACCGAGGAATTCATTTTGCGCTGATTTTTAAGAGTTGGAGATGCTCTCTAACTGGTTTTGCGGTCGAGAGATGCGAATGGAACTCGACCTGTCCTTGAGGGACCTGAAGTGAACTTTCTGCGCTGCCTGTCGATGGTTGTGGTTGTGGGCTGTTAGTCCATATGAAAATTGATCCGACAGACAGAAAACCCCAAAAAATGAGTGAGGCGGAGATGACAAGCCGCCGCCGGCGTCCCACCTCGCCGGCGCCGGCGCAGCCGCTGGAAGACGACGACCTTCTCTCCGAGATCCTCCTCCGCCTCCCGCCGCTGCCGTCCTCCCTCCCCCGCGCCTCCGTCGTCTGCAGCCGCTGGCGCCTCATCGTCTCCGACCCCGGCTTCCTCCGCCGCTTCCAATCCCGCCACCGGAAGCATCCCCTCCTCGGCTTCTTCAAGGCCGGGTTCAGGAGAGTAGACCCCACCTTCATCCCCACGCTGGACCCGCCGGACCGCATCCCCGCCGCGCGCTTCTCCTGGCGGCTCCCCGGCGGCGACGATGACCGCTACTCCATGTTCGGATGCCGCCATGGCCTCGTCCTTCTCTTCAACTGGGTTCTTCACCGGCTCATGGTATGGGACCCCGTCACCGGCGACCGGCGCGCCGTGGACATTCCTGGCTCGTTCCTCGACGGCCATGGCAGGAGTCTCGTGGTCGTCTTCCGGGGGGCGGTGCGTTGCGTCGTCGACGGAGGCTGCCACTTTGAGGTAGCCATACTAGGCAATCACCCACTGCAAACACGGCTCTTCACCTGCGTTTACTCATCCAAGACCGGCGATTGGGGCAATGTCATCTCAACCGAGTTTTATTCAGCGGGTTACATCTGTCATCATTCTAGTGCACTGGTTGGGAATTCTGTTTACTGGTTGTTCCAGGGTGATGGAATCTCCATCCTTCAGTTCGATTTCGATACGCAGGGACTAGCCCGGATCGATGTGCCACCGGATGTGCATGCCCATGTGGTTACCTACTACCAGATTCGGATCATGCCAGCAGAGGATGGTGGGCTTCTCCTCCTTGTTCTGCCAGAATTTAGCCTCAATGTGTGGAAGTATCAAGGCCAATTGTGATGGGTGTTGCTGGATGGATGCTGGAAAAAACAATTGAACTGGACAGGCTTCTTTCCGTCGAACCAGGGCGTCATGGAGCTGCACCAACTATTCTGGGCTTTGTGGAGGAACATAATGAAGTATTGCTGTGCACAGATATTGGTGCCTTCATGGTCAATCTGCACTCAATGCAATTCAAGAAGCTTTCCCAAACCATGGAACCAGGATTTTATCATCCATTCACTAGTTTTTATACTAAGGTAATACCTTGCCAACGCTTTTACGCTGGTAGTTGGTCCTTTGTGAATGGCTATTATTTGTTATGTGACAATTATTGTTCCTTTAAATGCTTGATGAACTGTCCTACATAGTATGGCATGCATTTCTGATATTAGTCTTCAATTATGCAGTTTGCATCAGGGGTATATTCATGTGTTAGCTCGTTTGGTTAATTTATTCTATGAACGTTCACCATACCATGATTACTCAGATTTACATATTACTTTGAAAATTGGCGACAAACACATGCAAAACTACCTGAACCAATTGAAATATTCTCTTGCTGACTGTTTGTGTGCATGTTTGACTAGTATGATTTAGAAGGATGGTTTCGTTTCCTGATATCATCTCTTCTAAGCGAAGTAATGTGAATAGTGAACACACGTCCTTCATTTGGCCTGACTTCGGTGTAGCATATGATTTTTTAAAAAATATTGAAGGAAAGTGCACTATCTTGGGTTAGTTGGCATGGGTTTATACCAGTGATTCATCGCTCATCTAATCTATTTTCTGTTTGCGTATTTCATTGACTAATGGGTTTTGTTTGCTTATTGACGGCAGAAAATGTTGCCCGAATGATGGATGATCTTAATAGTATTTGACCATGTTGGTTGCTGGAGAGGTATTCCTTGTGATTTTGCTGAATTTTGGATGACTGATTATCTTTGCCAGGTATTACCAAGTCAGGTATTTTATATGTCAGTCCAAGCAGCTGTTGTCTGGCCACGTGTGCCTAATATAACATGGCTCGTTAAATAGCGACAATGTAAGCATGTTCAGGTGCTGTAAGGATATCCCTTTGTCTGTAATTCTGTACGGTGACACATTGAGTCCTTTTGTGTTTGCTGTGAACCTATGACTCGATGTTCTCTATCTAGTCGACAAAACTGAAGAATCTCTTCACTTTGGTATAATATGTCATTTGTGATAATCCTTGCGAGTTCACTTTTTGTCCATGAGAATAATCAAACATAATATTTGCTTGTACTAGCCACAAACTTGTTTGGAATGAATGGCGTTGTATTGTGGATACACAAGGTCGTCTGTGCATGGGACAGAGAATATTGTCACTGTTCTTGGTTTCCACTTACTGGCTAGAGCCTCTCTTCATGTCATTTATTTGGATTTTGAAAGTTGGTGATTTCTCTTGTATTGCAGTTCATATTGGCTCAATACATGTGTTTTCAGTTTTATGCTGTGCTCTGATTGTAAATCATTTCTAACTAAACATGTAAAATGCAATTCCTGCAATAGCTGTAAGCTGATAGACATAGTTAGCATGGTGGTGTTCAGTGTTGATAAGATAGCTTAACAAGCATTGGAATTGGATGTGCTCATTGCTCAATACAGGAAATGACAGTATTGTTTGTTGGAATTTGCTTCAGGTTAGAGGTGGAGTAGTGAGCATATTCACTATCAGTACTAGTTATTGTTACTGTAGAGTAACTAAGTTACCTTCCTCTACTGCTTTTCTGCTATGATAGTACATAGCCCTTTCAGTTATTGCATTGTAAATTCAGTTTTATGCAACTAATTTCATTGGTCCCTTGCAAAATTCTGTAGCCCTAGCTCTGCAGTATTTCAGTGAAAAATTCTTCCTCAGTGTAAACCAATTTGTCTCATTGCAAATTGCCTGAATGGGTGTATCTGTAACCCTGCTCCACATCTTTGCATTACTTCACCTGTGCATTTGCTTGTATACTTTGAACGGTTGATGTATTGGTGACAATTATCTGCTAGTACAGAAATTTCCACATTTCCAAATTGAAAAGCGTCTCTGCTGGCTCACTGCACTTTCATGCATCTTCCTATGTTGATGTATCTTGTGGAGGCTTCCTTAATTTTGAGCTGAATCTTCCCAAAGTTAGATTGAAGAATCATTTACTTGTAAATATAGTGGATATAATATGCACATACAAGGTTGTTTCTTGTTGCACAATACATGAATTAGCCAACTTTATCAAGGGGACTCCCGTAATTCTGATGAAAGCATACAATGCAGAATACATAGTGAATGTTTTTCTTTCGTTTCACGGAAAAATATATTCTAATAACTCGAACTACCCCACCAGATCACCTGAACTATTTTCTTGGGAACAAAAGATTGAGCTGTTCATGGGGTAAACCAAGTCGAAAAAATAGTTTAGGACTTATAAGTTCTATGACAAAAATAGTTTGAGATTTTTTTTATTCATGGAAGAAGACTACTAATAATAACACCATTATTAGTTACTCCATGTCAAATTTCTACGCTCCAAATGTCAAATCTCGTATATTTTATTTAGGCATGTTTGATTTATATTATCAGGTAGATTATTGCTACGGATTAAATATTTTAAGAAATGAACATAGCAAATACTAGTTTAAAACAAGTTGTCTAATGATAAACAATGCAGTTGGGAAAAAGTTCTTTGAGAAAACATATTTTTCGAAGCTTAGAGCAAATAATTCATCCTAATAATCCGTTGAATAATCTGAAAAAAAAAGTTCACATGTTTGATAGAGAGCATGACTCGATTTGGTTTCCATGAGAGCAAATGGGGTATTGCTTGGAAGATTTTATCCGTAGTTAAAGAGGATAAGTGGGGAGCTAGTAGGTATATATAGGAATGAAAACGGTTCGGATAGTTTATGACCATCCAGATGTACTTTTATAACGAATGGTGTCGGACAAATAATTTATTGGAAATGAAAACGAATTTAGAAATTTTTTTCAAAAATAGAAACGAGTACATTAAGTCAAGTGTCTGTAGGGAAAAAAAGGGCAACCCATATTTCCACCAACTTTAGGCCCATATCTCTACCTTAACTCATTTGTCACATATTTTAAGTTTCGAAATATGTTGTATTTGATACTATTATTGATATTATTGATACTGTTATTTCAGTGACAAAACTTACATTCCAATTCTGAAAACTTTCAATTCAAGTATAAAAAATTTCATCTCAAAATCACAAAACCTCCAACTGATGATTTGAAACTTTCATCTCAAATCACAAATATTTCAATTCAAAAACCGAAAAGTTTCATCTCAAGACCCCCAAAACTTTTAATACCAAACATCAACTAGATATTCAAATCCATCTTCTTCTTTGACTTCAACAATTGTTACCTTATTGCTCATCCCAATTCTGAAAACTTTCAATTCAAGTATAAAAAATTTCGTCTCAAGTATCAAACTTTCATCTCAAATCACAAAACTTCCAACTGATGATCTGAAACTTTCATCTCAAATCACAAATACTTTCAATTCAAAAACTGAAAAGTTTCATCTCAAAATTCTAAAACTTTTAATACCAAACATCAACTAGACACTCAAATCCATCTTCATCTTTGACTTCAACAATTGTTACCTTATTACTGCCACCACCAAGTAGGTGCCTTCTTTGAAGCTGCCACATCACTGATTTCCTAGCCGCTGTATCCTTCCTAGCAACTACCGTTGCCCCAACGGCTAGGGTTTAAGGAGATAGGGTGAGACAATAGTACAGGGCTGGAGGAGCTAAGGTTGGTTGGGATAGAGAGGAGCTGAGGAAGAACGAAACGGATAGAGGATAACCGGTACCAGGGACAGAGATGGAGGCTATGGCCGGATGCCGGTGATGCAGCAGTAGCAACCGTAGTGGGAGAGGAGTGGATAGGAGAAGAAGATTGGGGAGCGAGAAGAATGGATATGATTCAGTCTCCTTTCAGTCTCTACGTCATGTGTTATCATGGGTGGGATGCTAATGTGTCGAAAGTGTGCGCTCGAAGCGCTACTGCACCAATTAGCAATTTGGGTAGAAAAAAAAACTACCCACAAGTTTGAAAAAAAAAACATATGCAATCTTCATGGAAACTACACTATGTTTGATAAAAAAAGAGTCTGTATATATGTCATTTGAAAAAAAAAACACCTAACCCTAATATCCCTTTAATATTCTTGTAGTGAACACCTAACCCTAATATCTTCTTCAATTCCCTCTTACCTCAATCTTGACTCCCACAGCCGCTTTGCTCCCCTCCCTCACGCACGAGCGCACGCTCCACCCGCTCGGCCTCACTAGCTAGCCAAAAAGTGTCGGCGAGGCCTCCTGGTAACAGTGAAATTTGGTAAGCCCGGAGTAGTCATCGGCTTAGAGTCAGCATCGGCTTCGAAGTCCTGAGATTAGCCAATGAGAGTTGTCAAGTCGTTAGTTGTCGGATTCTTGCTATATTCGGTTAAGGAAATTGATCTACTAAAGGAAGCTTATCCAGAAGAGACCGAGTTCAAAGAGAATGCGGCATGGCAAGTTATCTATTAATTAGGAATAGTTTGTTAGTTTCCTTTTATCTTTAGGAAAGCGTGTTTAGTGTCCTATAAGGACTTTATCTTTTTCTTTTATTTTTAGGAAAGTTTCTTTCTTGTCCGACAAGGACTTGTATCAACCCATGGGTATAAATATGTACACCTGGGGTCTATGTAATTTATCTTCATGATCAATACAATTCAGCGCATCGCCACCTTTTACCTTTTCTACTTTATTTTATTGTCCGGCGGGACTTGGCACCTGACGCGGGGCTGCATCGGTGTTCGATCTCCGGCTAAGGGGTAAGTCCAATGTTCCGCCTGCCCAGGGAATTGTATCGTTTACGTCGGTGTCGTTCAAGGCTGCATCAGTACATTCGACCTCTTGGATTGCTCTGGTTTGGATGATATATTTGCCTACCTATTTAACATATGTCTCTATTAATCTAGTCTTAGCATATCAATTTAGCTCTATCGGCTGCTTCTCGTTTTAGGGTTTCTGCTGGTATCGGCTAAATTGCGTTGCTAGATTAGATTAGCTTAGACATCTACCACCCTGAAAACTCAGTCAACGGCTTGATTGTCTAGATATTATGTTTCTTTTCATACTTAGTGCTACATCAGTTAAGTTTGATGTACTAAGTCATACTTAGAACCATAATCTCTAGCCTGCTTCTTGATTGCCAATAAGGGTTTCATCGAGGTTTCAGCCGGTGAGTTATCTGGACGTTGCATCGGCTCATAAGGATTGCATATACATATAAGTTGGATTTGGCCGATGACAACAAAGGTTTCACTGTTTAATCTAATCTTGTGGATTTCATGATATCAGACCTCCAGCCGGTGTATGCTTTAACCTTCGGATCGATGCTTATTTATCATATCATTGTTAGCCGATTGGTTTATACTGTATTATATTGTTATTTTATTATATCATCATCAGCCGATTGCCTTTATATCATTATCTACATTGGACATATAGCTGATTGCTTAAACCCTATCGCTATCGGCTAGTGTCGGCATCGGCTATTATCGGCTATCGGCTGGAACTACTCCATCGGCTTGTCAGCCGATCGGCTGTTTTGATCTACTATTTGCATATCTTATCAGTTGCAGGATCAAACTGGCTGGCACGCCCGCATCTCATCAAGATTTGGATCTGCACAAGAGCTAAGCAGATCTCCCAAGCCGGTGTGTTTGATTTTTTTCGTCAACACCTCCCCAGCCAGCCTCCTTCCTGCCACCCTCCCCTCTTCCTCCTCGAGCCGTCGGTGGCGAGATGCCCTCGCTCCGCTGTCTTCCTTGCCTCCGACGGCTCCTCGCCGCCAAATCCACCACCACCTCCTAACCACAAGCTTTCTATGCACCCGCCACCAATGCCAGTCCATCGCCCTCCCCCATCCCCCTTTCGGCTTCGGTGCTGCTGCTGGCGCCTCATTGCCCGTCTGTTCCGCCACCTACCACCGAGCCGTTGTCTCCCATGACCATCCCACTGGACCTGACGACCTCCCTCTTCTCCCCCCTCCCCATCCTATCCCTCCCGCCCTCACCCTAACCCGGGACCCTAATTCATTGGCCCTCCATCGCAGCTTGGGTTGTCGCCAGCACGGGAGAAAGAGATCGCCAGAATTGGAGAAAAAAGCACATTGAGCACAAATCACGAAGCATATCTAGTGACCTACTCCCTCCGTCCCAAAAAAAGGCAAACCCTGGGTTTCCGTGTCCAACTTTGACTGTCCATCTTATATGAATTTTTTTTATAATTCGTATTTTCATTGTTGTTAGATAATAAAGCATGATTAATATTTTATGCGTGACTTGTCTTTTTAATTTTTTTCATAATTTTTTCAAATAAGACAGACGGTCAAACGTTGGACACGGAAATCAGGGTTTGTCTTTTTTTTGGACGGAGGGAGTAAAATTTACCAGATTTGGGGATGAATTTTCTGACGACATAATGTTAGCAATTCCTTAAAAAAAATCAACTTATTTTTTTGTCTTTCGATCCAAGTCTTTTTTTTCTTTTGTTCTTTTATGGGATCCAACATCCAAGTGTTTTACGGTGTTACCTTACAGCGGTACAGTACAGACAGAAATCCCACTTTCCGGCAGACGGAGATGTCCACCTCGCCGTCGCCGGCGCCGCCGCAGCCGCTTGACAACGACGACCTCCTCTCGGAGATCCTCCTCCGCCTCCCGCCGCAGCCGTCCTCCCTCCCTCGCGCCTCCCTCGTCTGCACCCGCTGGCGCCGCCTCCTCTCCTCCGCCGCTTCCGCGCCCGCCACCGGCGGCCACCACTCCTCGGCCTCTTCAAGGAAGATTCAGTATACCCCATCTTCATCCCCACGCTGGACTCGCCGGACCGCATCCCGCCCGCGCGCTTCTCATGGCGGGTCCCCGGCGGCAGCGGCGAGGACTACCACCAGCTGTTCGGATGCCGCCATGGCCGCGTCCTTCACTACAGCCGGAGGCGGCGCCTACTCATGGTGTGGGATCCCCTCACCGGCGACCGCCGCGCCGTGGATATCCCGGCGCTGTTCCATCGCTGGGACATGGTCGTCTACCATGGGTCGGTGCGCTGCGTCGACGGCGACGGCTGCTACTCCAACCCATTCGAGGTGGCCGTGGTAGGAACTGACACGAGCGGGACAGTGGCGTTCATCTGCGTTTACTCATCCAAGACCGGCAATTGGGGAAATGTGGTCTCAGCCCCGATTAGTCCTGGGGATTACATGTCATTTTCCAGTATCCTGGATGGGGATTTCCTCTACTGGTTGCTGGGAAATCATGGGTGCCCAATCCTTCAGTTCAATTTGGTTAAACAGACAGCAACTCTGGTTAACGCGCCACCGGATTTGCGTACCAATTCGTATGGCGGCTTCCATATTGCACCAGCAGAGGATGGTGGTGGGCTTGTAATCCTTGCTGTGACACATTTCAGTCTAAATGTATGGAAGGGTAAGACCAATCGTGATGGTATTGCTGGATGGGTGCTGGAGAAAACCATTGAATTGGACAGGCTCCTTTCTTTCGGAACAGGACCTGAGACATGGGCACCAGTGATTCTGTGCTTTGCAGAGGAACATGATGTGGTATTTTTGAGCACGCATGTTGGTTTCTTCATGGTCAATATGCAGTCAATGCAATTCAAGAATATTCCCCAAATCCTGAAAGGAGGCCTGTATTATCCTTTCTCTAGCTTTTATACTAAAGGTAATTTCTTCCCATGCCATTTTACACTGTACGATAGCAAAATCATGTTGTTTTCTATAGCTGGTTATTTGTGAATGCCTTCTATTTGCTCGGTGAAAATCATTGTTCCTTTTAACTGCTTGATGCCTAGATGAACTGTCCTGCATATGACATGCTATTCCAAATTTTAGGTCTCTGTTCAGCTTGTTTTGCGGTAGTACTAACGTGTACATACTGACATGGCTTCAGTATACATCTTTTTACCATAAGTTGATATCACTTTGAGAATCAGCAACAACCGCATGAAAAACTTACCTGAACCAATTGAAATATCAAACTAGTAACTCAATTGGCCTTCTTAGAAGCTTGAAGCCAGTGCAGTATTTTTACCCGATACTTTTATATGTATTGACTGTGTTGTGTATTTTCTTTATGCTTCTTCATGAAGTTGTACTTTTGTCCCGGAGTTGCTTTACTTTCCGATTGTCTATGTACATTTGAGTAGTATTATTTGATAGGTCAGTTTTATTTCCAGATATGTACATACTTTAGAATGACTATATAACTTCTTGTAAGTGACATAATGTGATCACACATGTTCTTCATTTGAGTTAGATGTTTTATGACGTGCAATCTGGGGGATTTGGCCTTTGGTGGATCATATGACTGTTTTTCTAATATTGAAGGAAATGCAGTATTTTGGGGTATTTGGCATGGATTCCAGTGATTCATCGCTCATCTAGTCACGTTTCCATTTGCATATTTGTGTGGCTAATTGGCTTTTGTTTGCTTATTGATGGCAGAAGCCGCAGAACTGTTGCCCCCATGTGATATGTCCAAGAAGCCTAAGGTTCCATTTGCTGGTGCGTTGCCTGATATTGAAGAATATGGTTCAAATATTGGAGAGATTAGTTGCTACTAATTCTGGTCCAAGGCATAAGAAGAAGATAAATCCAAAACAAACCTTTTATGTGGGCTCTTTACAAGTGGAGATCGATCCAAACTAATGGTTCGGTCATGCTTAATTGAATTAAGTACCTATCAGTAGTAACCTAGCCGCATTAGTTTATTCCTTATGCAGGTGCTAGCTTTGTGTCCTTTTGTGTTTGCTGTGAACATGTGATTCGATGTTGTCTATCTGGTGAAGGAAAACTGAAGAATCACTTCACTTTGGTATAATGTGTCATTTGTGATAATGCTTTGCATGTCCTTTGGTTGCCCAAGAGGTTAATCAAACATATAGTTGGTTTGGGTGCTGGTACTCGCTGCTTGTACTAGGGTCAACAGATCTAACAGCCCATTTGGAACGAATGATGCAGTAGGTATACAAGTGCATGGCACAGAGAGGATTGTGATCATTCTTGGTTTCTGCTAGTACTAGCTATAGCCTAGATTCATTTGTTTAGATTCTGAAAAAAAAATAGGTGGTTTTTATTGTTCCAGTTCAAATTGGATCACTGAACACCACCATGCTTACTGTGCCTATCAGCTTACACCTAGCACAGGAATTGTGTTTTACACATTTAGTTAGAAATGATTTACATATCACTGCACTGCATAAACTGAACAGAGCATGGGAACTAGACTTTCTCGATATAGCTAGCTAAACAAGCATTGGAATTGGAAGTGCTCATTGCTCAATACTGGAAATGACAGTACTGTCTGATGGAATTTGATTCAGGTTAGAGTGGAGTGGGGAGCATATTCACTAGTTAGTTGCTTATCGTTTCTTTCTCTTATCTATCAGAACAATATTGTTAGTCGCATTTCTGCTGTTCTGGTTTTCTTCGTTGCCAATGTCCACCATCAATAGATGAGTCCAATTATGAGATACATCCTACCACAGTCCTCACCACCATTTGATCATTGGACCATCCACGCCCATCTTGAGTATTATGAGAACATGAGTATATCAATATGCAATGGTGGTTTTATCCATCCTAATTATCATTAAAATTTCTAATTAATACTTAGTCTAAGAAATAATTTATCCGTAACGAAGCACGGGCATTTTGCTAGTAATACATATAGTTGGTCTGTTTTTTTAATAATACAGATGGTTTTTATGCTACGATCCAGGTCGTCGAGTTTTTTCTGGTCTGATCTGGTAGTTTTTGTCGGATCACCAGTGGATGGTTTTTTTTGTTCGATCTGGGCATTTGGTTGTGTTGCCAGTTGGTTGTTTTTTTTTTTGTCCAATTTGGTTTTATACGTGTCTAACACATATGACGGATGAAAATTAAGGTGAGGACGGAATCATCCTCAATTTTTATAATAGTTAAAGATAAATATTAGGTTACTCTATTTGGGATTCAATCCTTTCGTGCGCGCCAAGAAAAAACTGATCAGAAACAGCGGTGTAAAAAACCGGGCCAAAAAAACCGCAACCAAATAAAATCATGACCCACTCAGAAAAAAAGACGAAAAAAACCGGGCTCAAATTGTTTTTTAGGCCAGTTTTGGAATCGGGCAGATTCTTTTTTATTATTTTTTTCGCACCCTTTTTTACCACTGGAATCGGATTCGTTTTTTTCGCCTGGTTTTTTCTGTCTGATTTTTTTCGTCCGGTTTTTTTGTCCAATTTTTTTCGCACGGACGAAAAAAAAAATCGCCCATCAGAGCGTGGACCCGAGCGGAGCCGAGAATGCGAGAGAGCTGCGCGCTCGCGTCTCGATCTTTCCGCCCGCCTTATCTCTTCTTCTTCCGCTCCGCTTTTGTTCCTCTTTTTCTCTCCTCCGCCCGCCCGTATCTTCTTCTCTCCTTCTCCACTGCGCCTCCCCTCAGCCAGCAACACCGTCCCTCTCCACCGCTCCCCCTCCCCTCCCCTCCCCCCACCCCCTGAGCCACACCCCACGGCGCCTCCCCCTGGCCGGCGGCACCTCTTTTTCTACACCTCCTCTCTCGCCACCATCCTCTCTCGCCTCCTCTCCGTCTCCTCAAATCCTAAGCGGCGGCGGCTGCTCCCCTCCCCGGCGTGACGGCGGCTGCTCCCCTCCCCGGCGTGATGGCGGCTGCTCCTCCCCTCCCGGCGTAGTGGCAGCGGCTGCCCCCTCCCCTCCCGATGTGGAGCCAACGGCGGCTGCTACTCCCCCTCCCCCTCCCCGGTGTGGCCGCAGCGGCGGCGACAGCTTTCCTCCCTGGTTGCCCCCCTCACATCCTCGAAGTTGAGCCGACGGCGGTTTTCTTCGGCGTGATGGTGGTTTGATTTGTGAATATTTTGTGAATTTCTACCTAATAATTAAAAAATACGCAAGGCTTCCGTGAAAAATTCCGTCCGTCGTTACCATGCGCTTCGCTAAAATCCAGATTTAATCCGGTTAACAGCCGGATCGGGCTTTTCTTATCTACTCCAAAACCGCGTCTGATACGGTATATATATATTTCATGTAATTGCCTCTCATGTGTAGTAGTCTGCCAACTTGGTTAAGGGAGAAAGTTTTCACTTCGGCCACCTGGGTTCAAGTCCCACTTTCCTCTCAATTTTGCACCTATTATTACTTCCACTGTGTATAGGCCTCTCTTAAAATAAGTCTACTTTGCCTCCCCCAAATCAAATTATATTTGCCTTCGATTTTTTTTCTCTTTTTTCAACAGATTTTTATTGATTATGAAATCTTATCTTATAATGAATCAGTTTTTAATTCGAAAATTAAAAATAATTAAATTATATTCACAAAAATCAATATAAATATATGTTGACCTAGGCCCTAGAATAAGTCTACTTTCCCTCCCTCGTCCCAAATCATATTTGCGCGTAATTTTTCTTTCTCTCAACCACTAGCACGGACCATGCACATCCGATGGCTGAAACATCAAAAGTTCTGCACCTCTTTCTTTAACAGATTTTTAGTGATTCTAAAATCTTATAGTATACCGGTTTTTAATTCGAAAAATAAAGATTATTATATTATATTAAAAAATTAGTATAAACACGTGAACCAACCGGTATTTTTTTAAAACATGAAAATTGAATATGTGCATGGCGTGAAACTTCACACCATGGCTCCGTTCCTTCTATCTCGATTTTTGTTAGCGTGTTTTTAAAACTTTCTATATACAAGTTGATATAAAATACTAGATAATTTTTCTTAATTTTTGTTATAATAAAACTCAATTAATCATGTGCTAAGAGGTTTTCTAAAAAGAAAAAGGAACGGCATGGTATGGCTGGCACTGTTCAGGTTTTGTCGGTTAGAACATAGCACTGTACTGTTGCATTGTGATTATAATCAATGCAATGTTATAGCGATCATCAATTATGAAAAAAGATTATAAAAGTGTCATAAAAAATGTAGTTTAAAATAATTAATGAACTCCCCAAAAATTCATTATTTACTTATATTATACGTAAAGGTGCGTTGCTTGGACGTCCGTTTCTCCAATGCTACAATCATCGGGACCATGTGTTAGGGACATCATTCACATTCTGCACGTGTAGAGCGGATTAATTATCCAAACACAAATATACATTTGTGATAACTATGAAGGTGCTTCGATAAATCATTGAGGCCAAATTTCATTCACCTCACCAAGTCATCATTACCCAGTGCAATGATATCACAGTTTATCACATAAGGGTTGAGAGAGAGAGAGAGCGTGTTTTTATCCGGCGTGATTATCATTAGCCTAATAAATAATTTATCTATCTTGAAACATTACTATATACATGTTAACTCTAGACTTTATAGCATTTAACTGTTCCTTTACCCGTAACGAAGCATGTGCATTTTTCTAGCATAACAATAATATAATTAAAATAGCCTTCACCCGTTACAACATACGGGCAAAAACCAGATTAGACGAAAAAAAATAAGCGACCTGTGTGTATTATTAAAAAATCAGACCGGGCCAAAAAAAACTCGGCAAAAACCATGTGTATTATTAGAAGAAAAACCAGATTGGACCGGAAAAAAATGAGCAACCCAGATCAGACCGGAGGTCGCCGTTGTCGTTTCTTTCTCTATCTATCAGAACAATATTGTCAGTCGTATTTCTGCTGTTCTGGTTTTCTTCGTTGCCAATGTCCACCATCAATAGATGAGTCCAATTATGAGATACATCCTACCACAGTCCTCACCACCATTTGATCGTCGGATCATCCACGTCCATCTTGAGTATTATGAGAACATGAGTATATCAATATGCAATGGTGGTTTTATCCATTCTAATTATCATTAAAATTTCTAATTAATACTTAGTCTAAGAAATAATTTATCCGTAGCGAAGCACGGGCATTTTGCTAGTTAGTATAATGGTCATAATGCACACCCGGCTGTTTCTTGTTCTGCAATACATGAATTAGCCAGCATTATCTTTATTTTCTATCTCAATCCTGAAATTTCTGGAAACTTGTCCAATAGAAAATTTAAATGTTACTTCTATATTTTTTTTCGTAAACGGCACTCCCATACTCCTACGGAAAGCATAAATAGTTGTTATATAATGAACGAATCCCTACAGATCCAACTATGCTTAGCTGTTCCTAAAATCTAGTACTTTGTCGCTAAATATTTGACGCTATTGACTTTTTTAAATACGTTTGACCGTTCGTTCTATTCAAAAAATTTAAATAATTACTAATTCTTTTCCTATCATTTAATTTATTGTTAAATATTCTTTTATATATACATAAAGTTTTATATATTTCACAGAAGTTTTTGAATAAGATAAACGGTCAAACATGTTTAAATAAAAAGTTAACGGCATCAAATATTTAGAGACGGAGGGAGTAGAAACATAAGCAATAACGGAATGGAGATTGGGAAGAACACAGCAACTAGGACATCATCTTCCCATTGCCGTGCCTGCTACTGAGCTCCTTTCTCGCACCGGCCACCGGCGCTTTGGAAGATGACTGGAACTGGATGTCAGTCTTGGGTCGGGGATGCAACCAAACAACGTAGCCTAGCCATGCTGGACGAGCGCAACTAGGAGCCCAACGGTTGACCTAATAAGTCAAAGCAAAAGACAAATTTTAAATTTTCACGTCAGCGGAAACGGATAACTAATCCGTTCACGATCGACAAGCGCAGAAGACATGTTGGTGGATGGGCCTTTGCAACTAGGTAGGTTTAGGAGTAATGATAAGGAATAAGTTCACCAGCCGTCCTTCAACTTTACGTCAAATTTGTATGACATCGCTAATCTCCAATACCAGAAATCTTCACTCCTAAATTATACAAAACCATGCAATTTCGGTTCTATGACGGTATGGATCTCTCGTTTCGCTAACGTGGTATCCTAGTCAGCAAAATATAAAATAAAAAAATGATAGGACCCACATGTAAATGAAAAGAAAAAAATTATCGGACCCACATATCTTCTTTCTTTCTTTTTCTTCTCTCATCTCTTCTCTTTTCTTTCTTTTCTTGCATTAAAATGTTTGATTGAACTTTTTTGAGCACATATATAGCTAAACTCACTGTGACAACATTTAATCTCTCATCAACAATTCTATTTGTGAAATCTTTAAAAAAATATATATCAAGAATATACTTTATGAAAACATATTGATTAAGTTAAGCACGTGCGTATTGCGATGATTTTTCAAAAATACTGAGTAGGTGAGTGGATATTTATAACAAAATAACTTATGAAATAGAATATCAAACTTTAAGTGACTTAAGGGTTGGTTTTGTAATTTTCCATAATGTTTCAGAGGCGTCTAGATAGGTTAAGAATCTTTCAAACTAAACTAACCCTTCGTCCCAAAATATAAGGCCCAAAATATAAGTGACTTTGAGTGAATATATGACGTATTCTAGTTCTACAAACCCTCTATCTAGATTCATGGTTCTAAAATGCATTACATCCAATCAAAATTTCTTATATTTATGGATAAAGAGAGTACTCCCTCCGTCCCAAAATATAAGAACCTAGGAACAAACATGACATTTACCATTGTAGTAGTAAATGTTACGTCCGGTGCTAGGTTCTTATATTTTGGGATGGAGAGAGTAACTAATAAGCAATGATCGTATAATAGAAGTCATTATGTCTACACGTCACCTCGTCTGATTAGACGACATTGAAACCCGTCACGCAACAAGACTAATAAGCGCACACACAAATTAGAGTTTACCAATACATAAAGTTGTCATGGGATAGAACGAGTCAAATGATGGTTTATAGTAAGTCAAGTGCTATGACAAAATAGATTGGAATTCTTTTATTCATCAAAAGGAAACTAATAATAATACCATTATTACAAAGCATGAAACTACATTAGCGAGAGAGTGTCAAATGTCTAATAAACCCCCCCAAATGTCAAAGCTCACCCAGAGTCAAACAGTGACGGCTCTTGGCAGGAGGCGCGCCCGGAGAGGCTTCTCCATGACGACGGTGAACTCGAGCTTCTCGCCGTCGACGTCCACCGCCTCCCCCTCCGCCGCCCGCCACTCGAACGCCGCCACCATGTTCGCCACGAAGTACTCCAGGTGCAGCGTCGCCACGCCCAGCCCCGGGCAGATCCTCCGCCCGGCGCCGAACGGCATCATCCTGATCTCCCTCGTCCCGGTGATGTCCACCCCCTCGCCGTCGCCGCCGGCCATGAACCTCTCCGGCAGGAACTCCCTCGGCCTGTCCCACGCCGCCCCGTCCATGCCCATGTCGGCCACCGTGAAGTTCACCAGTGTGCCCTTGGGGATCGTGTACCCGCCGAGCTCCATGTCCTCCGCCGGCGCGTGCGGGAGCACGAAGTGCCCCGGCGGGTGTCGCCGTAGACCCTCCATGACCACCGCCTTCAGGTACGGCATCTTCTGCACGTCCTCCTCCGACACCTTGCCGGAGTTGGAGGTGATGGCGCCCTTGATCTCGCCGTGGAGCTTGTCCTGGATGGTTGGGTTCTTGACCAGCTCCGCCATGATCCACTCCAGCGCCGTCGAGGTGGTGTCCGTGCCGCCGTTGAGGAACTCGGAGCAGAGCGCCACCATCTCGTCGTCGGTGAGCGCGCGCTCGCCGCCGTTGTCGTTGATCCTGAGGTTGAGCAGCGTGTCGACGTACGAGTGCGGCAACGTCGTGGCGCTCGCCGCCGGCGGTGGTGGCGCCGTGGCGTCGCCATGGTCGTCGACCAGGTTCTTGCGCGCCCTGCGCGCGTCGATCAGCGGCATGAACATCCCCTTCAGCCGCTGGCGCATGGCGATCATGGCCTTCATCCGGCCGGCGAAGAGGCGCGTCGTGATGGCCGGGAGGAAGGCGAAGACCCTGAGCTTCTTGGAGGAGTGGAGCAGCAGGTCGCGCTGCGCGGCGGCGATGTCGCGCACGGCGCGCTCGTCGAGCAGCTCGCCGAAGCACATGGCCACGAGGAGGAAGAACATCGCGTACTGGAACGTCTCCAGGATGGTGCCCGCGCCGGCGTCCTCCTGCCGGCGACGCAGCTTGTCCGTGAGCTCTTCGAGCACCGCCGCCCTCGCCGGCGCGAACTGCCGGAGGCGAGCCGGGTGCGCGACCTCGGCGACGAAGTTGCGGCGGAAGAGGCGCCAGAGCGGGCCGTAGCTGGAGTTGGAGATGGTGGCGGTGTCGAGGCCGAGGAGCGCGCGCGACGCGAACTCCGGGCGGTCGGCCATGGCGGCGCCGCTCTCGACGAGCGCGGCGTGGGCGAGCCGCCGGTCCGCCACGATGACCTCGAGCCGGGAGCCCATGCGGAGGCCGAGCATCGGGCCATGGCGCGCGTGGAGGCGGCGCACGGCGCGCATGATGTCCATCCCGGAGTTGGTCGCCCACAGCAGGTTGCCGAGCACCGGCACGGTGGCCGGCCCCGGCGGCAGGCGGCGGCGCTTCTCGCCGCCGGTGGCGCTGCTACCGCCATGGAAGAGGAAGACGAGGAGAGTGGTGGAGAGGAGGAGAGTAGCGAGGAGTAGAAGCCATGTGAGCTCCATTTGTGCTTGCCTCCAAGCTTAGCTCGATCTGATGAGATTTATCCACCTAAATATGGTGATTAACTTTGTGGATTTGGTAAGGTTTTATAGCTGAATCATTGGAGAAGAATGTATTTAATTAGGAGGAAATCATGGAGACCAATTAAAAGTTGATAGCTGTAGTTGAATAGTAAAAAATTAGCTGTAGCCATCCATCAACAACGACGTAAATTTACTATTCTGGCGTACACGCGGGAGAGGATTCTAAAACTCTCGACGATATTTCACCGTCTCTCATATACCATCTAAATAGTTAAAAACATATTATTTTAATATGAGAAATATACAGTTTTAAATATGCCTTTCTATGAGTTGTGAAAAAAAACAAACCTATGAGTATATCCACATATATATTTGTTTTTGTTACAAGTCATATTTAAACATGCAGAGTGATATTACTATATATTCTCTCCGTCCCTAAAAAAGTAAATATAAGATTTAATGTGACACATTCAATAAGATGTGTCATATCCAGTACTAGATTGATTTTTTATGAGACGGAAGGAGTACTAATTATCTTGTAATTTTTTAAAAGTTTTTTTTGCAACTATTTAGACGAACGGCATGTAAAAGATGGGAGGACATATCTTAAGAGTTTAGAACAATTTTCCATGTACGTACACACGTATATAAGCTCAGTCAGCGTACGTACGTGCGTACTTGTCCTAGAATATACGTATCTTTAAATCTTTTTGTGGGCTAAATTTCCGTGTGTTTACATTGAGACCATTTGAATAAACCGAGACTATCGATCAATCACTTTCGGACTAGATCAACATCTAATAATTTACACATTCGTTTGTTCTCTGGGTGAGAACAAGACATGCTTACTAAAAATTAATAGTACCTTGGTGTATCCCTACCAATATGAAAAAAAAATAATTTATAATATATGATAAACACATTTGTAATATATCAGGTAATATGTAATTCGAATAAAAGGGATCAAAGTATAGAGGAAGAGAAATTATAAAGTTATTTTTCTAAGGAAAAGAGCAATGCCGATAAATTAAGAAGGGAGAAAGGGGTTAAAAATGGAGTTGACCCAACATGAATCAGGTTATGAAACCAAATGAAATGAAGATATTTTATTAATTATACTTTGATGAAAGAGAGAACTTGGGAGCAAGTAATTGACAAATTATTGGAGAGACTGCATATGTCCGATCTTGACTTGTTATCTGCTTGGTGAGCAAGCAATTAAAAGACCGAAACTGCGAGGCAGCTAACTAACGGAGGTACGGAAAGAAAGTTCTATATATACTAGTGTTGGTTTGGATCTTTATTAACGGGATAATGCCCAACGCTGTGCTGCGAAATATATGTTAGATATTCGAAAAGTGATAAAATAATTTGGATAGAAATATTATAAAAATGATTTAGCATGTGTATGTTTAGTTTTAAAACAAAATAAATTGTAGTTGTAGATATAATTACTGTATGATTGCATGTTGAGTTTTGTTTGCTTAATGGGTTGATGTGACATGCTTGTATGTAAATTTTAGGAGTACTAATAAATACTAATATTATATATTAAGTTTTAGGTGTTTAGTGGACAATAATAGAAAGAAGGGATTGACTAAATCAATAACGTGCAGTAGTTCTGCGCTGACGAAAAAAATATGATTAATTTTGATCTTTTCTTAATTAGTCGTTCATGACGCACTATTAATAATTAAATTAAGTTGCACCACGGTACGTAACACATAAACTTGTACGCCCTTTATTTTTGAGTTTACGGCGTTGTTCACTTTTGAACATAATATATTTCCGTCTTATTTAAAATTTTGGTGCAAATATAAAAAAATACAAGTCATGTTTAAAATATTGAAGTAGAACAAGTGATATACATAGTTGGTTTTTCAGAAGACGGATTGTAAACTGTCAGATCCAAAACTAACGACATCATATATTATAAACAAAGGTACAAAGGTGATATATAGAGAATATTAATGTTGCAATACGAAGTCATACTTCCCCGTCCTTCTTTACTCGTCACCACTAAACATTTGTGTTTCAAATTTCAATATGCGATAAGTCCAATTGATACCCCTCAAGTCATACCTTTGTCTAAAATTTTCCCTCAAACTCTAAAACCGAGTATTCACCACCCTCGAACTATCAAAACCGTCCAACTTACACCCCCCCAACACCCTTGTTTTAGGTCAGGCAATTTTGGCCTACGTGGCAACTAACATGGCAGTTCATTCAGAAAAGATAATATTTAAAAAACTCTAGGGCCCATCTGTCAGTCAAGGTCTTATCCTCTTTCTTCCATTCTCTATCGATCTTTCTTCTCCCTTCTCGCGACGGCAACACACAGGAGCACCGCCACTGAGTCCTCCATGTGGAGTGTCACTGCCGAGCTCCTCCTCGAGAGTAGTCGCTACCTCACTATGGAGCACCGCCGCCGAGCTCCCCCAAGGATCGCCGACTCGCCCCCGTTAGAATCATCTCATAAAGAGATCCAAACAGCAACCACGGTTAAAGGGGAGAGGCCAGATGCCGTCAGGACTCTGTGTCGCGCCTCCGTGAACACCACTACTTCTCCTGCTCATGCGACCCATCTCCAAGACCAGGGCGGCGAGGTTGGGGAGCATGAGTTCAATGGAGGCGGTGGAAGAGCTATAGCTAGAGGCGGGGGGAAGAGGCGGAGCTTGAGCTCGCCAGTTGGCCTGTGCATGGAGGAGGTGCTCTGATCAGAGGTGGTGAGGAGGCGGAGCTCGACCTTGACCTCACCAATGCATGGAGGATGAAGAGCCACCATTTTCTCATATTGCCACCAACGATGTGGAGATGGAAGAGCTGCTTGGTGGAGGTGGAGGTGGATGCTGTGCTCGCAAGGTGGTGGCGATGAAGGAGCTGTACGAGGAGAAGGATTGGATCTAGAGCTCAACAACCAGGCGGCGATGATGGAGGAGCTCGATGAGATGGTAGGATGGAGGAGCTCAACAAGACAGAAACGCTTGGGACATGAATCTCGGCGGAGGAGCTTTTTGAAATGCTAGAGGTCGACCTTGGCTTTGTTGAGCATGTGTTGACGGTCCTTAAATCATAATATCTGACCGTCAATACCTGCATATAATGAAATAAAACATGGTATCAAACTTAGTGGTAGGGATTATTACTAATCATTTCCACTAGTGTTGGTGAAATATGTGTATGCAGGTAATTTGAGGAGAAAACACATCCGTCATGTGGCAAAATGCACCTCCGCGCATTCAGGACGCGTTTACACGGATTAGAGGCCCAATAAGTCAATAAAAACCATTTAGAATTGGGCCAAAACTTAGCCTAGGTTGTTGGAGACCCATTAAACAACCTCTCGGCCGAAGGAGAGGCCGGGAGGAGTGTTTTTGGGTTCGGCCGAACCCACCAGTTCGGCTGAACCCTTCCTGCCGCTTCCTGCCATCTGCTTCCACGTGGATGGCTTGGATTCCTTCCCAGAGGCGGTTGCATGGTGTTTTGGTCATTCCCCATACCCCTAACCGTCATTTGGAGCCTATAAAAGGAGGAGCTCACTCTCATTCCAACACACACAACTTTGAGCTGAATTACAAGAGGCTCTATTGTATCTTTTGTACATTATAATAAGGTAGGGAGTGAGAGAAAGCTATGTAGGAGTGTCTGGAAGTTTGGCACTCATCCGACTTCTACCTCAACGAGTGTAGCTTCCTAGGAGGAATTCTGGAGGAGTACCGGAGCTGTCAGTACACTCTGCTTCGGGTTCAGAGAAACTTCTTATATAAAGTAAGCATTCATGCTCCTTTCTTATGTTATTTAATTACTTTGTCTGAGTAAGATATATTTCTATCTTTGCGGGTTCATTGTTTAGTATTCATACTAAGTGCTCTAGTACTAGGACTCCAGATAGAGAAGAAAGTTCCTACGCAAGTATTAGAGTAGTAATTAATAACTTAGGCGTGGTGTCTAGAGTAGAGATTACCTTTGTTTGTTGTGTATCCCACGGATTTGTCAGAGGTAGGCGGCAGGTGGTGACAACCCTGAATTCCGTCCTAATAATCCTCCATGTTCGGGTACATCATAGAGCTATAGCCGGAACCACGCTAGCAGACCAGCAGGGGTCGGTGCCTGAAGCAACAAATAGGGAATTACCTTTGCTTAGCTTAGATAATTAAAACCCATAGAAAGACCTCTCTAGCCTAGCCTGCCTATCGTCAGTTGTTGTCCTTGAATAGTCTTAGCCTTAGATAGATTACACATGTTCCCTGAGTTCGATATCCTTTTGGGGTCACCCGAAGGTGAAGTGCTTCAGCGGTATTCCATGGGCTTGCGGATTTATCTGTGGTCGTAAAAAATACCAACAGCATGTAAAAGCAAGATGCTTGAAGCTCGAGGAGCCAGTGTTGCTAGCAAGCTCCCAAATGAAGGTGTCGGTGGCAGTCGGCAATGGGCTTGGGAGGAGGAGGTCGACCAGTGGAGGTGTCCCTCGAGGGCTTGAGGAGCCTAGCTGTAACATCCCGGCCTAGGTCTTGTTGCAACTTCTTTTCCGAAAGCCGATCTCCAAAGAACTCCAGGGTTAAGCGTGTTTGGCCTGGAGCAATTTGGGATGTGTGACCGACCGGGAAATTCTTCCCGGGTGCGCACTACTGAGGACAAAGTGTGCAGAAAAGACTTGTGTTGGTCTGTGAGGGCAGTCTATAACCTATAAAAGCTTAGTGAGGACAAAGTGTGCAGAAAATACTTGTGTTAGTCTGTGAGGGCAGTCTATAACCTATAAAAGCTGCCAGATGTAAGCGAGCCCGGCCTGGGAAAGGCGGACATTACACTAGCGGCGGCGGCAGCGACTGGTGGGTGCCCAATGTGGGTGGATTGGGCAGTGGCGTCTCACTGGCATTGAGAGAGAAAGCAGGGGAAGACAATGACTTGTACTGATGAGCTGCTTCCATTGTTTTTATTTTTTTTTTGCTGACTATGCTGCCACGTAGGCAAAACCTGCCTTGGTTTGGTAAAGTGTCCGGTATTGATAAATGGAGGGTACGTCATTTACCCGGTTTTGTAGTTTTCGTTGTG